GTGTCTTGCTTAGAAAAGTCTCTAAAATATCATGGATAAGTATGTTTATAAGCCCTGTCACATTGGGTATATTTAAGTGACAAGAGTAATTGCAAATATTCCTTATGCATTCTTTTGCTTTAAATCTAAGTGCTATCTAACAATATTTCTAAATGAAAGCAAAAATATGAGGAAATAATTGAACTAGGCTTGTGTTTCTGCTCGTAATTAGGTAACAGGATTAATTACCTCTTAATACTGTTCTTAAGAATAAAATATTGTTCTAGAGGAATGAAGGCTTATCAAACTGCTCAGTACCCATTCCTAGTAGTTTTTCTTGTTCTTAAAGATGGAGTCTTAATCCTTATTTCAGAGTTAGAGATTATAAAGTAGCATGAAGAATATAGTTGGCACAGGCAGAATATACTTGGAAGGAAGCACAACTTTATTCTTAAGTCCAACCCTTTATTTATTTATTTATGCATTTATTTTAGAAAGATTTTTGCTATAGGGCATATATGCTCACCAGAGACAGAGAGACAAAAAGTGAGAAATCACCCCCAAGGGGGGATGGCCACATTCCAATCCTACCTCCTCCATTCTCCTCCTGAGATTTTGGACATGCATGCACACAAACCCAGGATGAGTTTCAAGCCACCAAGTCTAGGACTCAAACCACAGTCACCTACATGGGAGTCCAAGAATGTAATCTTTATGCCATTTGAGGGTTCCATTCTTCTTTCCTTAAGGAGGGCTATCTGAGTGAGGCATTTTAGGCATGTAGATGTATATTTTGCCTAGAGATAGAAAGTAGGGATAACTTTGGAAGAATTGTGTTTTTGCTGAACCTTTCTATCAAAATATTAATTTAGACTAATGTCTTACTATGGTAATCTTTAAGACTGAGTGATTTGGGTTTTGGAGGATGCATTATAAAGTCTCTATGGTGTACACCATAGAGACTTCGCCCATAAGTAAGGATGAGCGTGCTCTCTGGAATACTATGTGGTTTGGTATTCTAATAAATTTTAGAAAACAGGAGTCTAACCTCCAAGGGCAGTGGAGACATGATTACAGGGCCTCCTATCTGGGGGAGAGAAGTGAAGCCTATTCCTAAGATAGGCCTTAGGAGACAAGTGAAGAGGATTATTCCATATCGTAGGCCTTTTAGCACAATTGAGGTGTAGTGACCTTGGAATGTACCCTCACGTATAATGTCTCATCATCATTGAAGTGTGTGCTATCCTTATGGTTTACCCTGCTGTGGAGACAGAATCCACCATCATCAGTTGTGGACCATCTTGCTTATGACAACAGAGTCTCAAACTGGCTGAAGGAGAGGCCATTCAATGGGAAGCAAAAGTACCGTATCCCCTTCTCAAGACCTGGGTGGCTCTCCTTCGCTGGTCTTATAAAGAAAAAAATAATTCATCAATGAGTAATAACAACACTCTGTATTTA